TTGGTACATATTAACCAAGATACAGTTATTGTCGCAATATATAGATCCCCATCTGTCACAAACATAGATAATTTCAACGGAAACTTAGACCAGATACTTCAATCATTAACATCTTTTAAAAATGTAATAATTACGGGTGATATTAACATAAACATTATACCCGACATACATGATGCTGGAACCCAAGATTATCTCAATCTATGTTCGTACCATGGTTTTTACCCAGCCCATACATTACCAACACATCAGAGTGGTTCTTGTCTCGACCATATGATGATAAAATCTAGGTCAACATATCTAACACTTGTCACAAAAACGCCGCTTACCGATCATTCCGCTGTTTTACTAACCTTAAATTTATCGCTGCCTAAACTGAATCATAAACTAGTAAAATCTAAGTTAAACATAAAGAAACTCGAACACGATTTATGCAAGCTTGACTTTGCCCCAGTTTTTCAATCGACGGACGCGAATGCGTCTTTGTTGTATTTAATTAATAATGTTGAACAAGCTATATTACATAATACGTCTGTAGTTGCTTCAAATAAACAATATCAAAATATCAAACCTTGGATAACCCCGGGTATTATTCGATGTATAAGACACAGGGATAAACTTCATATGAGGACAAAAAAATATCCCGATAACCTCACATTGCTAGTTATCTATAGGAGATACAGGAATTTCGTTAATAATCTTTTGAAAAAATTAAAAGCAAATTATGAAAAAAATGAACTACTCAAAGCAGGCAAGGATAGCAAACGCCTTTGGAGACATATTAAAATTTTTACCTACACTTCAAAAAGGCACGAATCGTGTTCGAGTTTACTATTAACCCATCCTTCACCGCTTATATCAGCCAATTATGTAAATAACTATTTTATTAATATGGGAAAAGACCTTGCAGAACGCCACCAACCTCTAAATCTATTTTCTCAGTCACTTAACGCTACCACCAGTAGGAATAGTTTTGTTATGTTAGATACCGACCAACAAGAAATTTTACAAATAATTACAAATTTGAAAGACGACAGTGCAGTTGGCTTTGATAACATTAGCAATAAAATCCTCAAAACTTTTAAGCATATTTTAATACCACCGTTAACACGCATTTTTCAAATCTGCCTCTCGCAGGGTATTTTTCCACAATGTTTAAAAAAAGCAGTAGTTACTCCTGTCTATAAATCTGGATGTAAAGATCAAGTAAATAACTATAGACCAATATCAGTGCTTCCATCCTTATCAAAACTATTAGAAAAAATTATTAACAAAAGGCTTATTGACTACCTGGAAAAAAATAACTATTTGTCACCTACGCAATTTGGTTTTCGGGCAAAGTTGTCAACAGCAGATGCGGTGCATAACCTGACTAACTATATTACTCAGGAACTAGGCAAAGGAAAGCATACTCTAGCTGTTTTTCTTGATTTAGCAAAAGCGTTCGATACCGTTTCAATTCCGAAGCTTCTAAAAAAGTTGGAAGCATTGGGTATTAGAGGAACGCAGTTAAAACTATTTGCAGATTATTTAGACAATCGATCTCAATGCGTTAAAATAGGAAATATTAAAAGTGATTACCAGAAAATGACCTGCTATGGTATTCCCCAGGGAAGTATAATCGGCCCTACCCTTTTTCTCGTTTACATCAATGATTTATGTAACCTTAATTTAAAATATGGTAAAATTATATCTTACGCCGATGATACGGCCTTGATTTTTAGCGCCAATAGTAGGTCAGAATTATATGAGGTAGCTCAACTTGGTCTTAATGGTGTAAATAACTGGCTTCGCTGCAATTTACTAACACTGAATACTGACAAAACCAATTATATTCACTTTTCTATGCGCCAGCCTTGTCATGGGTTTACAAATCCTAACTTATACGCACACCAATGCCAATATCCTTCAGTCAATAAATGCGATTGCCCTTTAATACAGAACACATCCCATATAAAATATCTTGGTATCTTAATTAACGACACATTATCTTTTAGACAGCATATTGCAAATCTAGTAGTCAGGATCCGTAAATTAATGTATATTTTTAAAAAATTACGTACCATTGCAGGTCCAAAACTAATAAAACAGGTATATCAGGCCTTATGCCAATCAGTAATTCAATATTGTATAACTTCATGGGGTGGAGCTCTCAAAACTATTTTAATCCCCCTCGAGCGAGCTCAGAGAGCCATTTTAAAAGTAGCCAATTCACTTCCCTTCTTATATCCTACGCATCAACTTTACAAATACTGTAATGTGTTAACTGTTCGCCAGCTTTTCATTATGCACACCATATTAAAACAACACACCATTTCACCTTTTTGCTCTGATATCACTAACAAAAGACGGAAAGATATAGTCTGCATCTCTACACATGATTCAAAATACATCTTTTCACATAGATTCTCTACTTTCCTAAGTCCTTTCTTATATAATAAGTTAAATAGAGTATTAGGTATTTACACATTAAACTATTTTAACTGTAGAACTGTAATATTTAATTATTTGCACAGCCTGACATACGAGCAGACCGAAGAATTACTTCTTATTTGTAAATAAATGAACGTAACTCCATTATTTACATTTACCAACATTTATATAATGATTACTTTAAGTTCTGTTTTAATTAATTTGTTAATTTATTAAATATTCTATGTATTATTTAGATCATAAAAGCCTGAAATACAGGTACAATTTTAACTGTAACCTAGTTCAGGCATCCATTATTTTGTATTTTATATTGTTATTAGTATTATTATGCAATGTATGACCTTATTTGAATAAAGATATATTTATTTATTTATTTATTTTTCTTTCTTTCTTTCTTTCTTTCTTTCTTTCTTTCTTTCTTTCTTTCTTTCTTACATGTATCATATTAAAGAGAGCCTCCAATAAGCACTGTTATTCCTACATTGTTAAAGAAGTAAATTATTTTCATTTTTTCTTTTATTTTTTCCCCTTGAATTTTAAACTATTCAATTATACAATATGCTTTTTGTGAATTAACTATATTGAGGTTCCACATACACGCAAGTAAAACCGCACACGGGTCTTATTGACGATTACGAAACTTATACGAAACACGATGTTGACAAGAAAATTACCTGTTCGATGACGTGGTATCTGACATGACAGGCGTTCACCTTTGCTGCCCTTTCAGCAGTATTATTCAATTACCATCACCCATACAATATTCGTTCGTTTTCCAACCATCAGATATGAATGAAGTTATTTATTAATCCTGCGCTTATGCAATCGCAGTGTATAAACCTGTATTACGTACTAGGGACTGGGTTGTCCGGTATTAGAAATGTCTGTCGAAGTTATCTTATTGGTACTGTTAAAACAGTACAGACTAAAATACTATACTCGACATCCTCAGTGTTTTGGGAGCTAGGGGTTGGTCTTGTTTAGATCTGGGCGTTTCTTGAGACTTTTTTTTTATACGAGGCGCAACAAATTACCCTCCATGGTGATGTTAATTGTAAGTGGAGGTCAGTTGCCAAGATAGATGATGCGGCAGAAGGTGTGCCACTTCGGCTATCGTCACATTGCTGGTTTGAACCCAATCCTCTACCCCGCGGAGCCTTGGAACCCTACTCACCAGCAGAAACACAACACCACCAAAAAGAAGTATTATATTGGATTCCGGTAAGGTAGAGGTTATTTCCCCAGACAGGCACTACCTCCCTTAGGCCCGTATTATAGAAAGATTCTCAGAAATTAATCTAGTTTTGAGCACAGATGGAAAGGGATATCGCTATATATACCTAGCACATAGCGACATCCCTTCCTAACCGTACTCAAGCAAAGATCAACACTTAGTTGTCATTTTGCATTTTGCATTGCTTCATGTAAGTTTTATTTAGATTGTGGTATGAGAAAATAAAAATTTATTATTTATTATTATTATTATTCTTAGTGTCGTCGCACAAGGGCCACCGGCTACAACCACAAAACGCCGCTACCGGAATATTTCCTGTAGTTTTCATACATTTTAAATGGACTCGCCGTACACGGCTAACGCCAGTGGCCGCCACACGCTTCGTATAGATGAAAACTACAGGAAATATGCCGGTAGCGGCGCTTTGTGGTTGTGGCCGGTGGCCCGTGTGCGGGGACGCTTAGACTTTGATTCAGTTGATTCTCTTGGCGCAATTCATTTCAATGTTTTCTTTCCATGTAATAAGAAAACGTAAAATTTTACTTAATTATAAGTACATTTATCGAATAGTCATCACTTATCGCGTTCTTTTGTTCAGTCCGGTCTCTCTGTGCTCGGTAGATTGGGGGATATCTTGTACGCTATTTTTTTAATCCTTCATTGCGTTGCTCGATGCAATTGTAAGCGATCTATTTTAGGTGACGAAAAAGTCACCGGACAAGAGTCCCTGTGCAGGCCATAATTTGTATAAAACTTCCAGTAGGGATGACGGAGGAAAAACTACAATCAACGACGACTCCCGAGCCCTCCCAAGACTCAACTTAGAGACATACGTCATGTTTTTCTCGCCTTAATTTTCGGAACCTTTCGGCCAAAAGTAATGCCTATTTGATAAATGTGCTTAAAGTCTCTCGTCTGCGCAGGCCATTATTGTCAAAGTTAATCCACTAGTGGAGAGAAATGAATCTACAGAAAAAATATTTCTTATTTGTTTATTGCAAAAGTTGTGTACTCTTATAATATAATTTTTAAACTACATAGTTATATTTTAAGAACTAGCTTACAATTTAATAAATGCGTCCATTCATAGTTGTAATCTCATAGGGTAGCTTTTAATCTTTTATTTAAATCAAAAATAACACATCCATCCACCTTGACTGAAATACTAGCTTTTATCGACGAAGCTTGATCTAGTAAGCTTTGAGGACAAGAGCTTATAAGTTTGCTGAATGCCTCATTTCTGAAGAGATAACTCAAAATATTTTCAATCACAAAGTCACCCATGTCAGGTGAAAATTGCAAAAAAACACACATGAGTTTGACGTAAGCAACTAAATTATAATTTACATACGGATACAAACTTACTTATTAAGTACTTAGCAACTTATTAAAATTGCCTATTGAGATATTATATTATTTGTCAAAGTAACCCGTGCGTCATACATAAACTAATCGTAAAAAATCCGTGGAAATTTAAGCGTTACCGACAACAGGCGAAAAAATCGAGCGAATAACTCTGTCAATACGTGTATGCCTACACAATACGTATACAAGTGTGGCTTTTAACCCCACTCAGCTACAGAAACATAATACCATCAAAGGTAGATATTTTGTAGGGCGATGTTACATCTTAACATGGACGCTTTTATTCGTAATGTTTTTAAGAAAAAGAACATCTCCTCCTGGAAATTAGCAATCAGTCTATATCACCTTGGATATTTTGATACTTGTCGAAGAATTTTCTCACCAGAAGAGTCCATGGCAGAAGCTAAAAGTGACGATTCAATCGCTAGTGGAGTCCAAACCTTATAGTGGAAAATAAATTATTGTCTCATTTCTATAAAGCCTTGAGTGTTTTGACATTGCTAAATAGCTATTGATTATAATTAAGCAATAGCTAATTAGCAATGTCAAAAAGAACAACTTATTATGACATGACATTTTTCAGAAACATTACTTTTTTTTCTACCTGGCAATGAATGCATGCCATATTCTTTGTCTTATAAAACAAGACAATCAATCAAGTAATAACTGTCAGTTTACTTACAGTATTTAGTGAGCCAGAAAAAAAAATCGTCGATATTTTTTTTATCTGTTACTTATCGCATTAAAAAAAAAACTATAAAACAATGATGACAAACAGCAAACTTATTTTTACCCCGAATTATCAAATTTAGCTTTGACTTACAATCTATATTTAATTATAAGTTATTAAGTACAAATTAAATGCATTAATGGCAAGTTTGTAATGTCAAAACTTCCACTGTTTTATAATGTACATAACTATAGTCATAGTTAATAGGACTTAATTCATAAAACATAAAAAAGGAAAGCTTTCACAATACCAGTTTTGTTAATAAATCCTACTAATTAAATAATTGTTATAAATACATTCAGTAATAACGAGCAAACTATTCTGTAAATTCAAAATACCTAAAGCACTTACCGGATTTCCGGTTTGATAAAAAAAAAATAAACAAACATTGCACCATATTTGACAATAATAATTACTATAAACATGTTAGGATTCGTATTTAAATTTTGTACATTGCGGATGGGGGTGAAGTTAGGGACAAACCTTGGACCAAATTAACAAAAGATGATCCCGAACGACCTATACGGTACCTACGGCTTTCGTACAGTGTCAGACGTAATTTAGCACTCGCAACACAATCCGCGAGATAGAAGGCTTACAAAAACAGTTCTGCCAAATATTCAAACGTATAAATAAGTTGACATAAACAACGGTCTGAACGTTCCCTAATCAACTGTAGTGTAAAACTGAGCTGGTAAGTGTAAGAGAGAGGAAACGACCGAGCGGCTACTTAATTCATATATAGGCGAACATGTTGTCTGTTTTATGTCTCTTTCTTGAAATTTGATAATTTCCCACGTGTGCCACTCAGTTCATTCTAAATATATGGTGTTAGATATCGTCTTATCTAAAACTGAACACCCCTTAATTGTCTTACTCTTGCATGCAGATGCTCAGTGTACATACATATACAACACACTCAAATTAGCTATAGTCATTGGTCATTCAGTTGATACAGTCGCCGGCTAGACACGAACGTGGCTGCCACGCTTCGATCACTCATAATAGTACCATAAAAGTGTGCAGGGACGTTTAGTTTTAGATAAGACGATTACACAGCGTTCATCATGAACAGATGAAAGTTGTGCCAGGTTCAGTCTTGAGTCTACATCCAGTCGAAGTCGAGGCCGTTGCCCTCGCTGAGGTAGTCGTACAGGTAGACCGCCATCTCGTCAAGCGCCTCCAGTCGCGGGTCCCCGAAGTGCTCCCTGATCGACCTGGCCGACCGCGACAGCGACCTGGAGTCAATACTGCTTATATTATAAACGTGAAAGGGTGCTGCAGTGTGCGATGCCGTGGTTCCATTAAGACTCAGAATAGTTCTGTAACGTCATTTATAGGCGTCAAATGTCAAGAAGTATTGTATGAAAATTTTGAACAGCGCACAACGGACGGAATGAGAACGAAAAATCTTCTATACAAAACTTGAAATTTGACGCATATCGAGATCGGGTAAATGGAATGCTCGGAACAAGTGTTTGTTCGCCGTTGCATTGCCGTTGTTTTCGTATATGATTGAGTAAGAGAGCATCCGTTTACTGAGCCCAGTCGAACATCCTTAAAGGAACCCGTTTGCTCGCTCTGAGGTTTCCATTTACCGACCGAGCATATGTTCCTCGCACAGAGTTGTTCTGAGGGTTAGGTAGAAATGCTGCATTAGGAATGTTTTTAATCGGTGCACCAAATTGTTATGAAATTTTGGTAGCTACCTACATAGATAAAGGGAACATTCGAAAAACACAAAGGCTACCTTGTGTAACGATAAAGTTGAACCAAGAACATTGCAGCATAGGGCAGGAGTGCTGCCTTTGCAAAAACTGGTCGCTAGGCTTAATATCAAATCGTTAATAAAAGTATTGAGGCTTATGTTCCTCTGGTCTTTTATGAATTAGTTCTGTACATGTCTTGTTGTGTCTTATTTTCATTAATGCGATAATAATTAGAATTAGACGCGAGTAAATGCACATCAAACTAAACCAATGAATAAATTAACGAAATCTACTTACCTGAAATCAGTGTCTGTCTCCAATTCTTCTTCGGTTGTAAATCTTTCTCTGATATCTTTCATGATGCATGCCTCAAGTTTCTTGTGCTAAAAATATAATTTGATTTTATTAATATTTTTAATACATTTAACTAATTTGGCATTGTACTATGTTAAAACGTAACCATACCTTGTAGCATCGGAAGAAGAACATTGGTTTGATCAGTTCTTGAGACAGAGGCGATACATCGCGCTTCACATCAGGAACGCATTGCTATAAATAAAAAATGAACCTATTTAATACTCTGATAGAAATTTGTTTGTCTTATCATGCTAAGCTGAGAGCATTATTAATATTTTATAGATAACAGAAAGTGTTCGGGTGCAAAGCAGTCTTATGCAAAGCGACCAAGGTCATAATGATTTAGCATTAGCGTCATGTATTTTTATTTGATTTGAAATTGATATTAGAATTGAATTTTGACATTTTAATTATATAAATATTTTTTATAGCTATCAACGGGATTGTTACCATGTACCTTGTTTTTTATGAGTCTCCGATATTTCAGCACTGTTGCAAGTGCCATGATCACGGAGTAATATAAGTTATCAGTTACTCCGTGATCATGGCGCTTGCGACAGTGCCGAAATATCGGAGACTCATAGAAAAACAATGTACATGGTAACAATCCCGTTAATAGCTATAATGTTAGTGACCATGAAAGTTTTAAAAAATAAGCATGATATATTACTATTTCTTTGAATTGGACTTTAATGATTATGATTATGTCTTAGATCGTCTTCCAAGGCGAAGAATACTCTCCAGCAATAAAACTAATTTTCTTATAAGAATAAAAATTCAATGAAAACTAACCTTTTTACTATAAATTAAGACAATGAATGAAATATTACAGAATTTGAGATAAAACACAATATAGTAATCCATCTTATCTATTTGGGCCGGTCATTACGAAACCTGGTAAGCTTCCATAATCATACATTTATCGAATGAGATAACCATTACGTCATCGATCCAACATAGAACTCCTTATAAATATACACGTGGAGAATTTCCTGCAGAACCGTGTCACGTCCAGTTTGTGGTCCTTTTACACCAACCATCTCTGAGTATATCCAGTATATAGATAACTGCACAAAATGTTCTTCCTGCAGAACTGCAGGCCGTCTTGGATGTCGCCCTTCAGTTCAGCGGACACTGGTAAGTCGATGATGCGCCTAATGATCTACTGGTAGTTTGGCTCCAGATTGTGGTCAATGTATTTAGCTCCCTTCTCAGTATACCTGAATTCATTTACTCGTTCATAATATAATATAATACTTACGGAGAACTTCCTGCAGAACTGCAGCCCGTCCTGGATGTCGCCTTTGAGCTCAGCAGATACCGGCAAATCGGTGATGCGCCGCGTGATCTGTTCGTAGTTGGGCTCCAGGTTATGGTCGATGTAGCCCAGCTCCTGCATCACGCAGGTGATGTTGCGCACCTTGCTGCCAGCCGGGCCGCGGTACATCATGTCTAGACGGTCACGCAGGTCGAGATCACGCTGTTGAGGTTTTGTTTCAATTAAAACTGATTAATAGAGAGAGTTAATCAAAAAAATATATTGTTAAGATAGTGATATGACATTACACGACACAGAAGATTAAGAGAGGTAGGGTGGGAATTAAAGTGCTCGTCTGGGGCTGTAACCTCCATCTTGCAAAACAAGACATCGAAATATCCTACCTTTTGATACTATGGGTGAGTAAAGTTCCAGAGCTATACGAGATCATGGTAGGTTATGGTGCAAGTGGTTTCACAAGCGTCTATAGGCTTAGGGGGCCGCTCAGCATCACGTGGTTCATATACTTGTTTCCCCCCCCCCCCCTTTTAAATAAAAAAAACATACCTACTAATGAAGCGTAAAGGTTTAAAGGTCTTACCTATACTCTTTTGGATTCGAAGTACGACTGCTGGTAAAAGCCTTGCAGGTATTGCTGCTGGTATGCGTGCAGTAACGGATCTTACCGAACTATTGGATCCGAGGTACGGTTGCTGGTATAAGCCCTATTAGTATGGCTGTTGGTATGTATACGTGTTGTAAGGCATGCCGGGTGTGTAAAACAATCCGTACAGTAACCGATCTTGCTGAATTTATTGGATCCGAAGTACGGTTGCTGGTAGAAGCCCTATTAGTGTTGCTGTTGGTATCCATACGGGTTGTAAGGCATGCCGGGTGGGTAAAACAATCCGTACAGTAACTGATCATACTAAATTTATTGGATCCGAAGTACAGTTGCTGGTAGAACCAATATTAGTGTTGCTGTTGACAGAAGCATTATTAATGTTGCTGTTGGTTTGCATACGAGTTGTAAGGCATGTCGGGTGGGTAAAGCAATCCGTACAGTAACTGATCATGCCAAATTTATTGGATCCGAAGTACGGTTGCTGGTAGAAGCATTATAAGTTTTGCTGTTGGTTTGCATACGGGTTGTAAGTAGGGCTTTCAAATACCGGATTTTTTCGATACCGGTATCAATACGATCACGGGATCACGGGATCACGGGATCACGGTATTGAATATGAACTTCAAATTCAAAGAATATTAAAACGCCCGTTGTATTTCTAATCAGTGTTTATTTCTGTTACATAGTTACCTACATGAAAAACAGGCTAACAAAATATTAAATATACATTATTTTTTCTACCCTTCCCGGGTAGTCTTTTATTAATAAATAGTTCGGCGGAACTAAGAATTTGAGTTCCACAATTTTTTATTAAACAAAAGATAAACTATTAAAATAAAGAAAAAAATACAACCAAAATGCCGTCCCAATAATTAAAATTCGCATGGCAATCAACATTAAAAAAAATTTTAGGTAAAGTACTTAACAATCATCTATTATTACATCTATATATATTTACTAATCAAACAATACTAAATAACAATATTCAAAAGAATCGAAAATAAAATAATAAACATAATCAATATCATTTTAAGATTTTGGCATTTTGCGCAGCTGAAAAAGGACAGAGTGTTTAATGATTTAGCAGAATAGCGGACTTCTCAATTTGTTGCATCAACAGCTGACCGAAGAAAAAGCTCGCTCAGCTTCTATACTTTTAGGTACTACAGATAGTAAATATTTGTAAACTGCAGATAAAATATTTCTCGACCGCCCCCACTGGTTTCCAAGACACACACTCTTATTATTGATTCAAAATCAGTGCCTGTAGTTGCAGTTGTACTTTTAGGTAATTTGGATATTTCCCTCTCCAACTGTTTCGGGATGGACGCATCGTCATCTTCAACACTTGTATTTAACGATGACGATGAAGTAGAATGTTCTTCTGTAGCAACACTAGCAACCATCTCAGTAACTGCTGCGGTATTCAGTTGTTTATTTTGTATTTCAAACGAGTCAGTAAATTAACGATAAATTTAAACAATTCATTAGATGTTAGTTTTTTGAAAATGTCACCTTCACTATCATTATCACTAAAATAAGCTTCAGGGTCATGTAAGTATTGTAACACTTCAGGTATAGAGAAACGTCGCTCTTTTATACGTTTTCGAAGTGCCTTTGCAAGGTTTTGGCTCATCTCATTAGCCTGTCCATCTAATTTTGCTAATATAAATTTTAAAGCAATATCAGCTTTTAATAAGTATTATATGGTGAACACCATATGTGTAATTATACCGTTTTGTGCGCCAGCTCCTCAGTTTATCTCACTCGCGTTCTTGCTTAACATTTCGTCTTTCTATTCATATAACCCTAGTAAAGACTTGTTGATTTGTAATGCCGTAAAATCACGGTATTGACTGATCAATACCGGTATTGAAAAATACCAATAAAAAGACCGTGATTACGGTATTACGGGATCCCGGAATACCGGTATTGAAAGCCCTAGTTGTAAGGCATGCCTAGTGGGTAAAAAAATTCCGTACAGTAACTGGTCTTACCGAAACTCTATTAGATCCAAAGTACGGCTGCTGGTAGAAACCTTGCTGGTATTGCTGCTGGTATGCATACGGGTTGTAAGGCATGCCGGGCGGGTAGAACAGTCCTGGCGAGTTGTATGGGAGCTGGTAGAACGGCGTTGCGGGCGAGAATGGACGGAATTGCGGGGAGCCCATCATGTACGGCGGTATTGGTGACGGCGGCTGGAACGGATTCTGGAAGCATAAGAACAGGTACTTGTATTACTTAGTAGTCAGTAGGTACTTATTGTATTAAATAAAGGTTAAAAATAGGTGTTGTAAGAATGAGGTACTCAGTGCTGTTGCACTGTACTTCACAATAGAAGTACACCTACCCAAAGTAAATAATGAGTTACATTTAAGCAAGTCTAGGGCTAAACTGTCTTCTTACGATTCGTGAGCTTTGTCATGTCGTATCCTTATATTACAGTGTACTCTGTGATTGAAGAGTATCATTATGATAGTTATTTGAAGGTCAACTTGACAAGATATGCCTTGAAATGAGCCTTTCCGCCATCATCGTCCAATACATAGCAAATGTGTTGAATTTTGACAAATGGTATATTTCTCTAGTTTTTTTTACTTTACTATAGTCAAATTAGACTATAGTCCCTAACCTTTGCTGGAAACCAGCAAGAAACAAGTCACATACTAGTTTTAAACAAAACTTGTAGAATACTTGTTGTGGTTGTTTAAAACATTCTTTCGTTAACACTGCATAGACACACTGCCGGATTTAGGGGAGGGCAACCGGGGCGAAAGCCCCGGGGCCTCCAGAAACGGGGCGCCCCCACAATAGAGACTTCGGAAAAAAAATTATTCAAATTCCAACTAGTAAACACTAGTAAACATCTTTTCCTTTGATATTTTTTTTGCTCTTTTACCTTTACCTACAGCCTACAGTACTTTGTACATCTAACATACATGATTATTTGATTATATTAATCTTAAATAACAGAAATCATTGATCTATATTTGTTCACTCCAATCAGGCAATCAGTGAAATATCAAAATCTCAAATGGCCCTGATAAGCACTTCCAATTCACTACCCATCTTGAGGGAGTACCCCAATCGCTTAATGGCTGAGTGGGGTGGTACTTGCCCGCAGGGCCGAATTTAAGGCAGGGCAGGTGGGACTGTGGCCCAGGGGCCTCCACAACAGCTTAAGAAATAACAACATTTCGATGGGTTAACAAGAATACAAATCATAAGTGGCCCGGGGCCTCCATAATCCTAAATCCGGCCCTGCACAGACAACTAGTAGTATCTTACAATTATACCTAATGGTATAACTTAATGTCACGTCAAATACATATTAAATGTATCAAATGACAAATGATTACAATTTCTCATTGCGTATTTTAGATCTCTTTCTTTATTTATGTTTAAGCGAATAAAAAATATCAAAAATATTTAAATTCATGAATTCAATCAGAAATTAGCCGTCGCCGTAGGGAGTAATAAATGTTTGACTCTTCATTTTATATATTTATTTCTATGCATTTTGCTTTTATAATAATTATATAAAATAACTATTTTGTGTTTATAGCTTAAAATAAGCTTATTACAATTATAGGGTCAGTTCGCCTGTTCGCGTCCATCGCCCAATTCGCGTCCATTTTACGGATCTCCCTTAAAAAGTCCTCAAAAATAAGTAAAGTAACACACCAATCGAACGAAAAGTAATTACCGCTAATACCTCAATGTATAAGAGGCACGAACACATGGACAAAAGGTAGGTGCGCCAAACAATCCCGTTTAAAAAAAATAGTTAGTCTCGGTTATTCATCAAGGGAGTGCGTACACGCGGGATATTTAGATAAAAAATAGTGTGCAGCGGCGCGTTCGATGGTAAGTTTATTATTTTTTTATGTTAATTATAGGATACATAACTGTTTCTTGACTTTTATAGTGAAGAAAAGAATAATTTTAATAATAAATTTTCTTATGTTTTTTATATTTAATAAATAAAATAAGGTGGACGCGAACTACTACATCGAAATTACAAAACTTCCAATTTGCGTCCGCAATGGACGCAAACTATACCTTCAGGGGATAATAATAAACCAAATTGCGTCCACTGTTTTCGTTTAATACAATTAATCAGTTATTATTTAAAATATAGGTATTGATTATTATTATTATATATTTTTATTAAGACTACGTGTTTATAATATTATTTTTAAATGAAATGAGTTATTTCAATCAATCAATCACATACTTTATTTGTTTCATTCTTATTTTTTTCTATTTGAGATGAGTTCTTCGGAGACAAGAAAGTAGAAAGAAAAGAGCATATACGCAGAAGACGATTTAAAGAAAGCGTTATATGAAATTCGAGAAAATAATAAATCGGTAAGACACATGCAAAGAATATGCTATTCCCAAGACCACAATATTGTACAAAATCAGTGGGCACAGACCAAATGCAGTAGAAGAACCGGGACCAGACACCACCTGATGTTACCCGAAATTTCTAACAAAGCACGAAAAGATAATAAAAGACCTCTAGCAACCATATCTTCTTCTGCATGGAGTAAGTATTATGAAGATAAAGAGCAGATCAAGAACGAAAAGCAGGAAGCAATACAAAAAGAAAGTTAGAACGAATAGAGAAACAAGAACAGAAAAAGAGTTTAAAACACTCTCAAACGCTTCGTAAAACTGCTCCAAAACGAAAGAAGAAGATACATGCACTTCAAGAAGTCACACAGGAAATGGTAAATCAGGAATTTGAAAAAGAAAAATTTTCTGAATGTGACGATATACTCATTTTAAAATGTAGAAGACGACGATGAGAAAAACATAGGCTGTGTGAAGAGTATTAGATGGTATCATCTGAAATGCACGGGATTTGTAGGATTAAGTAATTAAGAGGCCAAATATATGTCTTTGAACAATTCTTCTTGTTGTATGATTAGACAAAATTGTTGTATTGTTTTGTTGCTTTAATATAGCTCAAAACTTATTGTTAATAATGGTTGATTTTTAGACATAATAATATACCTTGTGATTTTAGGGTAAAATTAACAGAACTGATTACTGTTTATTCTTAAAGGTGCAGTCATTATTTACCTACTACTTATATAATTTTAAATTCAATCAATGTTGAGAAGAATATTTTTTATTTTTTTAAAGAGATAATTTTAATGATAATAATTTTGGTTTTAATATTTATATTCTAAAATAAATAAATTGTTAAAATAGGTACAATCTTTCTATAAAAATGCTTAAAAATATCACCCCTATATTCCTTTTCTAAGGTGGTGGACGCTAAATGGTCTACGGGTGGACGCAATTTGGATTTTGTGGACGCAAAGTGGGTGAAACCCCTAATTCCGCAGTTTATCTATTTAAATAAAAAACAATAGATGATTTGAACAAAACTGAAAGTTAATCTTAAAATAGACTATAATAAACACATTACATAAATTTTTCATAGAAATTAGTGCTGGAATATTTTTATTATCGCCGTCAAACTTTCCAACTGCACTAAATGGACGCGAACAGGCGAACTGACCCTATATATAACTCATCTAGACCAAAGTGGCGGTTAAACGATTTTGCCTTTCCACTATCGATATAATATTATCATACCTAATTTTATTGCTTATCGCTTGCACCCTTTTAACCCATAGAATAAAAATATATATATGTCAGTGGTGCAATATTTGGTTTTGGATCCATGTCAAATTTATTTTTGATTAACTTTTTATTTCCTAAATATTTCCCTTTTAACTTATTGTTCGAGTTCTTCACTAAAAAAATCCAAACATTAAAAATTAGCTTTACTTGAAGGTAACTATCATCTGTCTGCATCCAGTATTTAAGGAGCAATCGACAAAAAACTGTTTTTTATTTTTCCTGAAAACTTATATTTTTATCTTTTTATACTCCGGGGACAGCGATTTAACTGCGCCCGTTCCGTAGAACGATGCAAATAAATGCAAAAATATATTTGAACGACCAATTATTTACTTCAATTTGAACCACGCAAGCGGAACCCAGAAAATATTGAAGGAAAATATCTTATATTAAAAGCTGCACTTGTATATTCCTACTAAGTTATATAATTATCAATGACCTTAGTCAATGACCTTTCTAATTTAATAGCTCTATAATAAAAAATAATAGCTGCACTCAGAGACGTCAATTAAATTTAATCACCCATTAAGCACGTTGCGACTTTTAACTTTTTATTGTGGTCGCAAAGTTAACAACATATTTAAGCAAACTTATAATTCTTAGAGAATTTATAATAACATAACAAAGCAAGAATTTTGTATAGTGCCATTTGCTGTAAGATGGAAGATTGTCATACTCAGAGATATCAATTAAATTTAATGATTGTTAAATTTTAGTGTTGCCTTCTACCATTAAGAAAAATGACTGCGTCAACTTTGATGAAGTTGCAAATAAAAATTAATCAATGTAAGAGAACGCCACTGTGACAGAAAAAAAAATACCACAGTGATTTGATTATTTAAACTAATTTTCTTTTGTTTTTGATAAGAAATTTAACTTTAACTAGTTATCTTTAATTTCACCCATCACTCCATCGGCCTCTTTAGCTCAGTGGTAGAGCACTGGTCTCGTAAACCAGGGGTCGTGAGTTCAATCCTCACAGGAGGCATCAGAATAATTCTTTTCTCTTTTTATTTTTTATTTCTATAAACTTACCCCTTGTGGTCTGAACTGGAAAGGCATTCCTCCTGAGGGTGGTTTTTGTGGTTGAGAATCTTGAGAGTTATGGTCCTTGTCTTGATTCAAAACAGCGCCATCTTGCGGCTTAGTAATAGTTTGCGTATTGGGGTCCACGGAAAACCCAAGCGGCAATTTGCCGAGCAAGATAGACGGTATGTGCGAGTTCGGTGCTTCTTCAATAGGTGGCGCTGAACACTTCGCGTATGCTTCTTTCATTTCTTTGCGTATTTGTTTCACGACTTCAGGTCCAAAACAACTTTCGTAAATCTGTAATAATTATTTGTAACATAATAATCTTTCTTTTGTCAAAGCGATAATTGTTTTATAAAGGTTATTTTTAATAGAAAATGTTTTTTAGTTGTAAAGTTTATCGACATCCATTTTTTTTAAAAATCATTATCCTCTGTAGTCGGGTAAAAAGTTTTAATTAAATAATCCGATAATATAGGTAGGTAGGTATTTTAGAAAGGTTGTAGAATGAGTTCAAATACCTGTGAGCTTTACCAATAAAATAATTATCTAGAGTTTGATACTAAATGGTAATTTTAATTAAACATGCAAGAGCAGTCGTGGCCGAGCGGTTAAGGCGTCTGACTAGAAATCAGATTCCCTCTGGGAGCGTAGGTTCGAATCCTACCGACTGCGGAATTCTTTTTTACCTTTTGAAAATTTAATTTAATTGTTTTTATATACTTTGTACTTATTTACCTTCATCATAGCGTACTTTTTGATGAACCTGTCATCGCTGTTGGCGAGTGCTTGCGCCACGCACAAGAAGAACAGGTATGTTAGTGGCTTGTACATCTTAAATCTGGGAACAAAAAAAAACTGTTATTTTAGTAGTTAGGTACCAGTAGTAGATATGTGCATTTATTTACTACTGACTATTAGTACAGTCAATCTGTAGGTTGAGTGGTGAAAAAAAAACCTAAAGGGTAAGTCTTGTTTTTTCTGTTGCCAAATGACGTCAGTAAGCCACCTTGGCGATGGGCATGTTCAACTCGTAGGCGTTTTTTGAAAAACTCAAAAAAACCCTCAAAAATTGTTTGAAACGCATTTTTCTTGTTTTGTATGCATTTTAGAAACTTTTTTTTCGACCATAATTGTAGAGGGCGTTGAGTACTACAATTTATGTCATTGTTGCAATCTCGTACAACAAAAAATGCGCATTGTACACGTTTGTTTTTTCACTTTTTCACCCTGAAAATATCATTTTAATGGAAAACTTTAAATGGCAAAGTTGTTTCGTACATAATTTCCAACAACTTTTATAAAAACATTTTTTTTGTATTACTTACCGTTTTCAAGTTATAAATTGCGCAGGTATGAAAAATCCAATAGAGCGGTTTTGGGCAGTTCAAGTACACATTTGCAGTGCACATTTCAATGTACGTTTTTACAATTTTTTTTTTCAATCATGAAAAAAAATAAAAATAAAACTATTTTTTTTATTTTTTTTTTGTTTTTCAATCATGAAAAAAAATAATAAATAGTAAAACGTACATTGAAATGTGCACTTTCATATTTATAACTTGAAAACGGTAAGTAATACAAAAAAAATGTTTATACAAAAGTTGTTGGTAATTATGTACGAAACAACTTTGCCATTTAAAGTTTTCCATTAAACTATGTGTTAACACGGCATTCCTAAACTATGTGTTAAATCAAATAAAACTAGTTTTTAACGGGTTAATGCACGAAACTTTATTTATTTATTGACGTTTCGTAGCCTTTTCAGGACTCATATACTCATAGATCACTGAGAACGTAGAAGTAGACGTTATGTTTAATTATCTTGTATGCAGTGACGTCTTTGACCGATTGAAGGCCCAGTGCATATTCGGATAATGGGGCCCCTATGACCCCCGTTTGGTGATCTTACAGGAACTAGGGACTTGTATTTGATCTGAAGTGGGCCCCTATCGATTGCGGGGCCCTGGGCACTTGCCCAAAGTGCCCACTGGGAAAGAGGGGTCTGCTTGTATGCGCTTAAGTTCACATACTATAGTTATTTACTATGTACCTTGTTTGTTTGTTACTCTGTGATCATGGCACTTACAACAGTGCCAAAATATCGGGGACGCAAACAAAACATGGTATATTTATGATAGAAATCCTGTTCATAGCATAAATTACTGTAGTGTTAGTGACCATAGAAATTTAAAATGAAGTTTACGCAGTCTCAAGTATCAAGAAATGTTAGTCTAAAAGCTCGCTCGCGCCTTTTTATAATCTAGGTAGCTTATGATTCATTACCATCACTGGCGGTCATATGAAAAGAACCGCTAAAGTTAATTGCGAGATCTGCAAAATAGTTGTATAATTCTGCCTTCCTTAAGCGTTTTTATGGAGGCAATATAATTTCCACATCTATACTCTATACATATAAATAAAATTGTAATGTCTGTTTGTAATATTGATATAACCGCTTTTTACTACATGCATATGAATAGTATATATACGGTACATGCACCAAATTTTTTTTTACAATTTTTGTCTGTCTGTCTGTTTGTTGTGCAGCTGAGTAATAAGGAGTAACTTAGGCTACTTCTATTTAAAAAAAAAAAACAAAACTAAAAATTAACGCGGACGCTAGTTTAATAATAATTATAAGTAAATTCTGATATCTGGTGAACTGTAATCGTTAATAGGTAAGGCAGTTGAAATTTTCCTAGAATACGTAATTTTGTTGTCGCTATAACTACAAATTGTTAAGTTTTAGGAGGAACATAAAGTTTGTTTTTAAGCGAATTTTGCTCGTTCAATCTTAACAATAGTTATATACATATTTCAAACGCTTTATTTTTATGAGAATCTCACAGGTACCTAACAGTTTTCAGGATAAAAATATCCTAGGCCCTTTGTCTCAATCTAGGTCCTTTCATCCAAAGCCATTTAGTAGTTTTTGCATGATTGAGTAACAAACAAACAATCACACAAACTTATAAACATTTACAGTTATAATTATTGTAGGACATGCAAGACCTATACTCAAAAACAATAGCCATAAAAAATCTGATGATTTTAAGATCTTGGCCTAGGTATTATAAGATAACAACTCATTCATTATGTAGTCGAGTGTTACTTTTTCATGCATGTTGCACAAAACAAGAGCAATCTTCGTTAGATCATGCCTTCATCAGATGTGGGGTCAATGTCTCAAGCGGCCTTGCTCTGTTAGGGCTGTCAGATAAATAACATCTTTTTAACCGGCTTAAAAAAAGGAGTACAATCAGTTTGACCTGTATGTTTGTCCGCGATTATCTCGCGTTTGGATTGATCTTTCAGATGAATGAAGAGATTTCAGATTTTATTGTACCATTTTATAGAAGGTATTGGTATTTTAACTTAAAAAAGGAGGTTCTCTGTTAAATTTTGATTTTGACTACAAATTAGGAGGCTTAGTAACAAAATAAAATGGACTTTTTGGCGGGATCGGGAAGCGTCACTTAAGCATTCGTTTTTCTTATTAATAATTGTGTTGTGGCGGATGTTGGTGTCTAATAATGGTGGATTATTAACCACTAAGTGTTCGGAAACATGCACAAGTGTTGGCAAGTGAAACAAAATAGCGGAAAGTTTCTTTCGACGTTTTCTCAAGAAGTCCACGGGGAGGTTTCAGTAAATCCCCACACTTTTACTGAAACATAGGGAAAGGGGCATTGACTTGATTGCCACTTACTTTGACTTGATTTATTACTTTGACCACTAGTGCTATAGTATTTGTAAACATTTTAACACTTGTCATTGGCTAAATGCACAAGCCGTGCGAAGCCATTTAGAAAAAAAAATCAAAATAAAATAGACACCGGAAAAGGCTCTACCAAAATGGTAAAACGAGTTTTCGAATAAATTAAAAGTAGTTATGTACTGCAAATGTATTATTTTGTACAAAAGTAAGTATGAAATCTCTGTATACGTAGAAATTTTTATTCTAAAGTTGGCCGCCATGCGTAATCCTGTAGTCAATTGAATAATGGCATGGAGGGTGCATTGTTATTTAATAAACTTTTGACTTAATACATATTAGGGGATAAATGTGAATTAGTTATAGAACGAAACAAACATCTATTTATAAAATTGACAATAACTGTGTTCACATGACTTCAATATTAATGAAATAAATTTTTAAGCGGTAAATTTCATTTCTAAAGAGGTATTCATAAATAAATATATATTATGTAGTTACTGAGTACATTTTATCATCATGCTGCACAGTACAAATGAAAATACTATATATCGCGGAACACTTCTTGCCATAAACCAGTAAGCCTGCGCAGTGGCAATTTTACGTACAAAAACGTCTACTGTGCGAATTTTATTGTCTGCGGTTTTGCTCAAGAATTTTGTCGCTTTTCTAAAAATATACTTACACGAGATCGCAAAAGTAGAACAAGAATCAAGATATTTTATTGATGTTTGAACCGTCAGTCATAAAAAATATGAGCTACCTACATAATTGAATAAAGCGTTGCTAATTGATAACGGTTATTCCTTCCGTAGATGGACGGTTTCCTTAATCAACTTAATGGGAAGTTTAAAATGTACACCAACAGGTTCACACGCGGAAGATGATTAGTAACTTGGATAAGTAATAAGTCAATGCAAAATAGGTATCAGGAACAGACTATATTTTGTTCTTAATTACGTGGGCCATAGAGACGAAAGAACTTATAAAAAATATTTAAAAGATTAAACCGTCTTTTTATGTTTATTCGGTAGGTACTTTCGAATTGTTAATAAAATAACAGCCTGTAAATGAACTTTGTAATCCATTTAACCCTTGTTGCTTATGTGAAAAGGGTGGCATAATATTATGATCCATCCGATGGTCAGAAAATTTAACGGCCAAACATATAAAATATACTTCACCTATGCACCACACATTACCCCATGAATGGAACACTGTTAGCCTCACTCACCGCTTGAAACACAAAATACAAGTTAACACAATAGAATCACACATACATCTACGTACTTCATGTATACTTTAAAAGAATAAGTTTCCCACAAAATATCTAAAGTCACTTGGGGCTATTGTCGCTACAAAAAAAAAAATATGTCAAACTAGTGACTTGAATATTAATATAAAAAAATTTTTTATGATGACGTAGACGTGTTTAGATTGATAGAAAGATAATAAATGAATTCTGAATTTAAGATATTCCACTTAAAGCCGCTAATAGTTACAATTGCCCCTTAAATGCGGTAAATGTAGCTAACCATTTGTATGTCTTTGTTGTTGTATCTATGATTCTGGGTCTAACAGTAAACATAAACGTCAGGTCCAACTTAATGTCACTAACTTTGTACTTCAATGCTCTGTATTAGAGTTCAATTTGCTTTAAATGTACTTAAAGTATCATCAGGGGATAAATGTATATTTTTCATTTATATTGGTGCCGGGAACATGTGATTCGATAACCATATAATACGAGTATATATAAATTGTAAGCTGTGGAGTTTCTTTCGCCGCTTCTTCTCCGACAAAGCAGCATAATAATTAGGTATTTAAGTGAAATAATTATTGCATCTCGAAACTGTGGTAGGGAGTTGACGATTGAAAAGTACTTACCAAAGTCCATTTAAATAAAGATATTTTGAGTTTGAGTTTGAGTAGAAACTAATATTATCAAGACTACCACAATAGAATCAATAAGTCTCATATAAAATGTTTAAAAATGAAATAAAACCATATTATCTACAATTAATCTACTAAACAATTTTTGAAGGGGCAAAAAATACTAATCGTTAATCATTTCATGATACACTGTAAAACAACTTCCAATATTGTGCAAAAAATGTTTTGAA